AGAGAGAGAGGGAGGGAGACAGCGAGAGACGGAAAGAGGAGCGTTGTCCTGTGAGCAGCGGAGATACAGGTAGACAGTGTTCTGCTTGCACCCGTTACGTTTTCCGCTGGTACGATTGTCGTCGTTTGCCTGCCTCTGAGCGGAGAATTCTGTCTGTCCCCCTGTCCGTGACCAGCAGGCGTTTTTATTGAGAGGCCAACAAGAAGATGTAGCGGGAACAGTGCTCGCGATCGTCTGCTAAGTCAGTTTTGCTTCTGCACGGACTGACGTCTGCTAACCCGGTCGCTGGCCGGGGAGAGGTGGTGGGGTGCGGGCTATCATAACATTCTATGAAGAAGAGGGGAGGATTGTTGCTCGAAAGAAGGAAAAAAAGTTGAGGTGGGGGGTGGGGGGGAGATGATAGAGATTGCGGGTTAGGAGAGAGATGCAAGGTGGGTAGGTAGGTATTTTATTAAGTGTTTAAGGACATTGGTCCACATGGCGTAAAAGATATGCACATTATTACAGAACAGACTGGGTAGGTAGGTTGGTAGGTTGGTAGGTAGGTAGGTAGGTCGGTAGGTAGGTAGGTAGGTAGGTAGGTAGGTAGGTAGGTAGGTAGGTAGGTAGGAGGGTAGGAAGGTAGTAAGGTAGGTAGGTGTGGTGCGGCTTATCATAACATTCTATGAAGGAAAAGGGAGGGGATGATTGTTGCAGAAAAGGGGGAGGTGATCAGAGGTGATGGGTTAGAAGGGGGATGCAGGGCAGGTAGGTAGGTATTTTATTCAGTGTTTGAGATCATTTGCCCATATCACATAAAAATACACATTTTACAAAACTGACTTCCGGGAAATAGCGTAAGGAATGTAGGGAAAGTAGTGTGAAAGAGGACATGGTAAGCATAGAAAAGAGTATCAGATTTGCGCACGAGTAACAAACGAAATACTTTTTTACAAACTTTTTACCACTTCCACTGCTCAACCCTAAATGACATCAGAGCTGCCCTTCTCCCCCCGAGACCTAACATTGACAACATACTCAATGAAACATTACAGCAACTGCAGCAAACCTGCAGTTATCACTACATGGTATTGGACACAAGAAGAAGACCCAAGTTCGATCCCCGAGTAGCCTATCTCGGTCTTTCTGCCGGGACATTAAGTATCCCTCTCAACCCAGGGACACTGATAGGCAAGGTCGAAGCCCACCTCCTGATTCATGTAAATTTCGTCGATGGAGGGCGTAAAATCAATTACATTTAA